ACGATGAATCAGGTGCTAATAGCTAGAGCAGATATGATATCCAAGGCCCAGCGTTACAAGGAAATCACGATTTCCTTATTTAGTTATTAGATTTTTAATACTACACACAGCAAGAGAAAACATTTAAAAGTCACAATTGTAAGGAATGATTTTTAGAACTACAAGTTTGTTGTGAAAGATACATATCTGTGGTTCAAAATAAAAAGGAAGTAGAAGTGATCAGAATAACCACAAAAGCTGGGAAACTCTTCCTTTAGAGAGCATCTAGGAGAAGATCTATGCCAGCTTCACTCCTTTAAAAAGTTCATGTAGACAATATGCCCGACACAGGGCAAGTTTCTGAAAACAGTGTAAATCCAACAAAGAAAGCTTCTTGTGAAGCCAGCCTAGTGGCTGGAAGTTTTTGGGGGTTCAATGCTGACCACTTCCCTCCAGGTTTCCTTGTTGTGTTTGCCTTTCTTTTTGAAACAGGTTCTCTCTATGTAGCCCTGCCTTATCTGGAACTCACTATGTAGACCAGGCTGGCCTCAAGCTCATCTGAGATCCTCCAGCCTGTGCCTCCAGAGTGCTGAGAGAGTGACAGCACGTACCACCACACCCAACTTGTTTCCTCCAGTTTTTACCTAATAGAACACAAGCAGAGAAGTTTGGGGCCAGGTTAGCCCTTCAAGATGTGGTGGTTATAAACTGTTACAGACATTGTTCTCTCTGCCCTTGTTGCCCATGGGCTGACATTCTATCACTAGAAGTCATGACATGGATTCCTTAGTTACAGATCGCTGAGGGATAGACTTTTTCCAGACGCTAAAAGGAAAGTAAGAATCATACAATAAAGAAAGCGCATAAGTAAATACAACCAGAGTCTTAACATGTTTTAAGTAGGGAGAAGAAAATCAGAGATTTGAAAAAATGGGCAACTTAGGATAAAGGACCACCAGAAAGAAAGACGCAGCAAAAAGGGAAACAATTGTACCATAGTATACTTGTTCTGCTGGGTCCATTTTCAACTCTGGGTTAGTAAAATATATAGGTGGAGGGCACTCTCTGCTCCAGCATCCTTCCACATATAAGTACCAAGATGCAATACACAGACATTATGGGCAGATCGAACAGTCGACACAGCCTAATGTACGGAACAAGTGTGTTTCTTTACATTTATCTGCTGTTTGGATTTGCACTCAGCTTTTGCAGGGATTTATTTTTAAAGGGCCAGACTGTAAGAAAATATTTGTTCTTCCTTGAAAATAACCCCCAGTTAGGTGTGAGTCCATTTAAGCATGCTTGTCCAAAACCATGCTTTCTCCCCACCACACTCACACGCCTAGTAGTGGAGACGAGATTTACAACCAGGAGAAAAGTAAGGCTCAGTACAGGGGACAGTAGGAAAGCAAGTCTCTAAGGTAAGTTATATGACTTCTCCTTCAAAGATCAAATAAATAAAGCGATTGCTGCATCATCTGGGAAAATGGTTTCTATCCCAGGAACTACAGAATTCTTTTTTGTTTGTTTGTTTGTTTTCTTTTGAGGCAGAGTTTCTCTGTGGCTTGGAGCTGTCCTGAAACTTGCTCTATAGACCAGGCTGGTCTTGAACTCACAGACATCTGCCTGCCTCTTCCTGCTGAGTGCTGGGATTTGAGGCATGTGCCACCACCGCCCGGCTTTAAACTTTTTTTTCAGAATTCTTATTAAAGCAAGAATTGTATATGACTTTAAAATAATATGCATTTTGTCAGACATACCTATCATTTTTTCCAAAGGAAAAATATTCTTACTCACATGGAATAACCAATCTGCCTATAGAAATTCACTACTACACACCAAGGAAAACAGAGAACATGCAGACATATTAGAAAGAGAAAAGCATGTTTGTTGTGAAAGGGAATTTGAACTAAGGAGCTTTTGCTCTTCTGACAGGGAACTCTGCGAGGTAAAGAGTGAATTTCATTCTTGGAAGTGGCACTGTTGCCATGCCAATCTTCAGAACTATAACATGAAGACAACTGGATACCAACCAGATTATTTAGAAAGGTAAATGGATACTTTCAGAAGCCTGCTTTTTAGATTGGAACGTAATCTCGGTCCTGAATTTAAAGAACAATAATTCTTAATAAATATTTCTAAAACTCCATTGAAAATGTTTTCAACTTTAGCACAAACAAAGACCAATCTTTATGTTGTAGTTTAATAACTAGATACAAACATAAGGAAAGAAGAGAGATGAAAATATTACCGTTTAGGAATCATCTTTATTTAAAATCACCTTTCTTCCGTTTAAGTCAGACAGCTATTTAGATCTTTAAAATGAACAAAATCCATTGTTGTTTTGACTTGATCTTTCTTTTCCTTTCAAAAATATAAAATAAAGTACTGGAAAAACTCAATTTGATGTGCCAAGGAAATAGATTTTCAGATGTCTGAAATGACAGTATACTCAAATCGCTTTCAGATCAAATCATCCAATGTTTTACTTGGAGCAAGAATGAGTTTAGCCAAAATTGAAAAAGTTTAGTAGAACATTTGTTTTCATATAGTTTAGTTACAATTTACTTTAGATTTATACTCCATTTTCAACTTTGTGCTGGGATTCTCCACATTTGCAGGGTGACTTCTGGCATGGAGCACTGAGATCTCAATTTTAATCGCATGTCTGTCAAGTTGAAGTGAAATGCATCTGCCTGGAGCAAGGCAGTGGACAGCCACTTGGGTCTCTAGAAGACTGGGCAGCAATCCCAGGTTTACCCAGGTAGGGTGGTGACATCTATAGTGAAAACAGCCAGCGTCCTGAAACCTCCCAATATGATGCATCAGAAGGGGTGTTGGTGTTCATGTTATCACACATGGTACTTGTGGGTCTTTGACCCTAATGTGACCTTTCGGATGCACATTGCAATTCTCTATTCTTTTGTATATGATGACATAATTTTTTCTTAGCGAAGAAAAAACCAGCACATACCTCATTCCATTTCAATCAAGTACAATAGAAAGCAATAAAATATCCCCTATGTAAATACAAATATGCTAGTAGATTTGAAATACTGAAGAGTTCATTGCATTGTGTTTGATAGAACTGTGGTCTGAGGCCACCATATTATCCACTTGGTCTCCAGGACAACCACACACTACAGGGAAGAAGTAGGAATTTCAGAGGCAAGGTCTAGTGGAAGGGTTCCTGGTCATTGAAGAGGTACTCTCAAGGACAACCACGCACTACAGGGAAGAAGTAGGAATTTCAGAGGCAGGGTCTAGTGGAAGGGTTCCTGGTCATTGAAGAGGTACTCTCAAGGACAACTATACCATTCTAGGGCCTTTCTTCTCCCTTTGTCCCCACCAATGAGACAACAGATGTATTCTCCACTTGCTTCTCACCATAACGTGTGGCTTCATTATGGGTTCTCAAACAACAGGCCCACTAACCATAAACTTAAAAGCTATTAGCTGAAACAAACCTTCCCCATTGCATAAGTTGATTGTCTCAGCTACTTTATTATAGCACCAGAAAACTGACTGATACTACTGAAGCAAATAGTGTTAGAACCAATGTTCCTAGGATCACTGTTTTTGATTCTACTTTTTAATGTGAATTTGAGATTTGAATCTCATTTTTCCAAAATTCAACACAAAGATTAGTCCCTTCCACTTCTGAGGGATGAACATGTGAATCTCCACCTCTTGGCAAGTAAAAAGACTCCAAGGTCAGCATCCCTTACTCCTGAAGGAGATGTGTGGATCCCATGAAAAGGGCCTCCTTTCCCAGATTTCTGTCTTTCTTTCCATGTGTTTTGTGTCATTTTGGGTTCTTTTTTATTTTGAGGTAAAACTCTATTTTTCTTTATTAAACTTAAACCAGTCACCAGCCTTGATTCAAATGAGAGATGTCTGCCAAGGAAAGACTAACTTCTATTAGAGGTGAGTTCCGTCAGCAACATCACCAGAGGAATCCTAAAGATATTTAATACGAGAAAATGCCTCTACAGTCAATTTTACCACAGTTACACATTATCTATTTTTTGTTGTTTGTGTGGGGTTGCCTATTTTAACATGTTTTAGATAGACAACAAGGCACCAAAGCCCTGGGTAAATAATAGATGTTAAAAATAGTCACTACCTAACAATGTTACTGGAATAATTAGAGTGCAGAAATGCTCTCACATGAGCAGCCAACTAAGGACAAAGGTTGGCAGGAATCTGTTTCTTCAGTTCTGTTCAAATTAATACAGCAAACTTGTTCCAAACGCACCGCTCCCACTTACAACTACTTAAGCTGTTTGCTTTCGACTCCTCAAAGGCACATGACACGGGATCACGTCCTCTGTGTGTTTGGACAGTCTCTTCTTGTTTAGTGTCTGCACAGTGCCAATACATATTTATATGCCTTGCTTTCATACTCAGGGTAGAGAAATTGTTCTAGCTCAATTCCATGGAGCCATATTCTTCAAATGCAATAAAACACAAAATTCTTTTTTTTTTGCTTGGTAGCTGGCTGCTATAGAACACAGACAGAAAGTGTGTCCTTACAACCCAACAGAAGACCAGCGTAGACCTAAGGGATCCATAGGATTGCTGTAACATGACTGAGCTTGTATTTGAACCTAAAAGCACATAACATTATTGCCAAATAGCTGTTTCTATCCCATGTACATTGGAATAAAAATGAAAACTATGTTTTCCATGCAATAATCCCAGTAGCTTCTCAGATCAGTTAATATATCATAAACAGACGTCATATCACTTTACTCTTTAAATGAAAAGCAAGACTCCTAAAATGCATGAAATTTTGACACATCCATCCATCAAGTCCACCATTAGGAAAAATTTTTGCTCTTATTCAATGAAAATTTTTACAGAGACGTGAAACTGACCAAACAATAATTATCATGCCAGACATTTTTAAATGGCTCTCCAAAGTTTACCAAACTCATGTAAAAGCTATTGTGCATCTTAAAGAACTAAGCAGTGTATGATGTCACAGCATTTCATTACATCTTGAAAGAGATACTTGCATTTTGCTGTCACTTTGTAACCACCTAGGGGAGGGATGTGTCCTTCCAGTGCATCAAATCCGGCAGAGACCAGGACCATGTCTGGATCAAACTCTTTGGCCACAGGCATCACCACAGTCCTGTATGGTGAGAAGGCAATGGTCACTCGTGGGTAAGCTGGGTACCTGCAAAAACTGCTTTGTGAAAATGACTTGGAACAGCCTCGGTCACTTCCCACGGAATGAAGAAGAAGGCAATGCTAGCTGGATCAAACGCTTATCATCGCCTTCATTTGTGGACACTGCTGTCTTCCCATCCCCAACACAGCCTTTTCTCTTCCGTGCTTTTTTTTCTCCACATTGAAAGCCTCCATGCTCTGCAGGCCCATTCAGCAGCCTGCCCCAGCACGGGCACATCTGTACTGTTTTATCCCACTGCCTATAAAAGCAGGCCCGCTTCTTCCAAAGGAGACTAACGTTTTACAGGAAAACTGAAGCTTTTGGGAGAGCCTAGCTTGCTCTAGTTAGTAAGAAATTGGTATAAATGTGAACTATAAATTTCTTTTGGGAAGAAGTTTGCTTTCCCAACTTAAATATATATATATATATATATTTAAAAATATTTGTCATGGTAGGGGGTGACTCTTGCAAAGGAAAAAGACAAAATTCCCTTAATAGAATCCAGATTATGATGTTAAGTGCGTCCAAGGCCAGACATACCAGGAATGTGGCTGCCTTGTCTCTGGCAGCAGCCCCTGCTGGCCCTACTTAGATACTTCAGCTAACCCCTCAGCCTCCCCAAGGCTCTGAACCTTCCCATCCCTCTTAGTCTTCAGAGAAAATGACTGCAGGACCTCAGAAAAAAATTTACAAGGGCTTCAAGCTCAGAGTGCCATCATAAAAATTCAAATACCAAAGACTATTTAATGAAATGAGGAAGCAGCACACTATTAGGAATTTTACTAGTAAGACTTCTGTCTGTGAGAAGAAACTGAAGCAAGTGTCTCAGGAGCAATACTTCAGTAGAAAACTAATTAGCTCTTTCATTTTTTAAAAAGACTTTGAATGTTGGAAATGGGAAGTTGAAATTAGAACATAAATAACTAAATGAAACGTGTGTGTGTGTGTGTGTGTGTCAACTCAACACTTTCTCTAATCACTCTTCTGCTAGCAGAAAATGCCAGCCATTGAGCTTTCAAATACAAGTATTCATTAGTTTCCCTCAGTAGTTCTCTCAGCAGCTGGAAAATCATTAAGCCTGAATTATTCACTAATGAAACTAAGAAAATATATGTATGGCTTACTTATGTTTTTTTTTTCAATCATGTTGTGAATGTTTAGTATGGATACAAGATCTGAGGAATACATAAGATTCCTTCAACACCTTCAGCTCTGACACTGTGGTTTCCACAGAAGTATCATGTGTAACCATTCACTGATGGTCTTGAATGAAATGTCCTTGTGCTGTTGAGACATCAGGGTACTCTCTCAAAGAATCTAGAATATTTCCTCAAGAGCCTCTCTTTATTTTGGTGGGTATGTGATACTGTCTAGCAAAGAGATGGTCTAGTTCATTTGTAGGACAATCAACACATTTGCTATGCCCATTATTTCTGAATTTGCAAACAAGGAGTTTTCAGTCAAGCTGCATCTTGGGGAACTCATTCTATGCAGGTGGATTCACTCCGGAAACAATAAACCAATAGGAATTGGGGCGGGGGATCTACCACATATCCCTGTAAGCTTTAGATGGAAATTTGTCACAGCCTGGAGACATCTTGAGACAGAAGCCTTGATTAAGGAATTTCCTAGAGCAGATTGGACTATGGGCATGTCTATGGGAAGAGAGTCTTGTTTATTAATCGATATAAGATGGCCCAGTCCCCCATGGATGTCACCATCCCTAGGCAAATGGTCCTGGAGTTGACAACTCAAACAACAAGCAACACTTTTCCATGGTTTCTTCTGCACTCCCTTGGCCAGAGGGAATGCTGAACAAATAGCCAGAAAGCCTGCCTCCTGACGCTTCCTGACATTTCTCAAGGATGGACAGTGTCCTGAAAGTGTAAGATGAAATAAAGCCTTTTCTCCCCAAGTTGCATTGGTCATGTATTGGTTACAGCAAAAGAAAGGAAACTAGAAGACCATGTTATCTGGTAGAATTTTCCAGTTCAAAGCTCACATTCTTAAAACTCTGATTCCTCTTCAGAGCAATCCTTAGCCTTTAAAAATGATCCAGTATGGGACTGATCAAGACCCCCTGAATGTGGGTGTAAGTGAGGAGGCCTAGGCAATCTATTGGGCCTTGGGTAGTAGATCAATATTTATCCTTGGCATACAAATGGACTTCGGGTACCCATCCAACAATGAGAGACGCACTCTCACCCTGGACTATTGTGGGAAGGTCTAGGCCCTGCCCTGGATGAAATGACAGACTATGGACACCCTCATGGAGGACCTCACCTTCCCTGGGAAAATTAGGAGGTGTTGGGGGGGTTGGTGGCAGGGCATGGGAGGAGGGGAGGGAAAGGGGAGGGACCTGGTATTGACATGTGAAGCAACTTTGTTTCTAATTTAAATTTAAAATAAAAAGAGTTTAAAAAATAAATAAAAATAAAATGTATATATTAAAAAAATGATACATTCTTAGAATTTTGTCCAGATGGCAACTGTGTGTTGCCTGAACTGTGTGTGACTATAGAAAGTTTATGTGATAATAATACAAATACTAATACAAAATATTCTGTAAATTTTCTCTTAAACTAGAGAACTATATGACAACAACTGCTTATAAATATTAGCATTGGTGATGTTTTATTCATTAAGTTCAACTAATTCACATGGTCTACTTTGTTGGAAATACAGGCATGGCTAAAGATTACTCAATTTCAAACTGATCTTAATTATTTTCCTACTGTTGACATAAATTCTTCCTTGCCTATATCTCATAAATAGATAGAACTGATATTCCCCAGATCTCTTTATCTTGGTAAATTGAAAAATATATTCTGTATACACAAGTGTTTTGCTGGTAAATATATCTGGGTATCACTGTATATGCTTGGTGCCCAGAGAGGCCAGAAGAGGGGATTGGATCCCATGGAAGTGGAGTTACAAATAATTGTGAGCCACTGTGTTCATGCTGAGAATATAACCCAGATCCTCTGGAACAGTGGCTTGTGCTCTCAACTGCTGTGCCATTCCTCCAGTCACAAATTTGGTAACTTTTAAGGAGACATCACTGAAGTCTTTGAGCTCTTTTATTTATGTTGGCATGGATCTAGAATATCTACTACAGTCTCCTTTCCAAAACTCACATTGAAATTAAATACCATTGCTACAGTGTGGATCATTGCCATCGCTATGGGAGTGGGTTCCTGATGCAAGGATAAGTCTGCTAAGTTTCTTTTTTGTCCTCTGCCTGTTTGTATGTCCTTCATCCATGTTATGACACAGTATGGTGACTCATACCAGACACCAGCACAACAGTGCTGGACTTGGTAGCCTCCATAACCATTTTCCAAATGAACACACACACACACACACACACACACACACACACACACACATATATATATATATATATTCTACATCAATTATCTAGCTCTAGATAACCTGTTATAGCAACAAAAATGTACTAAGACCATGTATGAAAGACCAAAAGAAGGGTATGAGAATATTATGTATTAAAAAGCAGTATAGTTTTTCTTGAACAAATTCCTCCAAGGCGTTCATGGGGTTTGTTGTTAAAATAACAAGCAAAACATCATGTTTGCTTGGGTTATCATATACTTCCTAATAGCCATGACACCTCAATAGCAAAAAGCCTGTCACTGAGTAGTTAGTGTTCTATTGTCAACCTCCAACAAAAGAGTACATTGACCCCTGAAAGGTGGTTGACTCTTGGACATTATCACCAGAAGTAGGAAGTGACTCTGGAGTACTGCATGGTGGCAAGGAAATCATCAGAAGGAATGAGGATGTATTCACAGGGCATATGGACTAAAGCAGGAAAAGCCTAGGGTGGCTGAAGCTGGAAAGTTCCAGAAAGTTGACAAAAAGTAATGTCAACAGTGGATTATAGCCCATGAAATCAGATAAGTAGTCGCAAGTTCATAATATAGCAGAGATATAACTGAAGAGAAAGGAAACAGCTCTTCCTACAGAATAAACTATCAACTAACAAACCACCAAGAATTGAAGAATTTAAGGAAAAAGAAATTTACCATTTGAATAAGATAAAAACAACTGAAGGAAGCAACATTTAAAGATTTTATGATTTTTTTCACATCAGGGGACACAAGGGGTACACCCCAAAACTTTACTATTATGAAAACTTCTGAAATTCTAATGTTGTTTCAAGATAAAAAGTATCAGACAGGAATTCTTACCAACTCAACAATGGGAATGTTAGTGGCAAATAGACTTTTAATTTTTTTCTTTGTAAGAATGATTTGGTGAGTGTTGAAATCTTCCACTGTAAGGATGTGAGGTTTTATGTGTGATTTGAACTTTAGTAATATTTATCTTATGAACGTGGGTGCCTTCGTATTTGGGGCATAGATATTGAGGATTGAAACTTTATCCTGATAGACTTTTCCTGTGATGAATATGAAATGCCCATCTTCATCTCTTTGATTGATTTTAGTTTGAAATCTAACTTGTTAGGTATTAGAATTGCTACACAGCTTGTTTCTTGGGTCCATTTGATTGCAAAATCTTTTCCCAACACTTAACTCTGAGGTAACTTCTGTCTTTGACATTGAGATGTGTTTTTTGCATACAGCAGAAGGATGGATTCTGTCTTCATATACGTTATTAGCCTGTGTCTTTTTATAGACATTTAAGACCATTGACATTGAGGGATATTAGTGACCAGTGATTGCTGATTCATGCTTGATTTGGATTTGGTGGTGGTGATATTATTGTGTGTGGATCCCCCCTTTTTTCTTTTGGTGTTTGGTAAAGAGGGATTATCTATTGCCTATGTTTTTGTGAGTGTAGTTATCTTCATTGGGTTGTAATTTTCCTTCCAGTACTTTCTGCAGGGCTGGATTTGTGGATATGTATTGTTTAAATCTGGTTTTGTCATGGAATATTTTGTTTTCTCCATCTATAATGGTTGAAAGCTTTTTTTGGTA